AGTAATGCAATGTTTTGAATTGATTCAAATATGAATTTGGTTCATCTTCATTTTGGTAATTTAGATGATATTTGTTTATGAATGAATAGCATGATTTGACTTTGTTTGATTAATTGCAACATTCAATTAATGGGATCATTTTTAAATTTGTGATATTTTTGTTTGTTAAAGGCAGTTTGCAACTGTTCTAGAAACAGAAGAAAAAGTTGCTTATTATCGTTACAAGTCTGAAATGGAGACTTACAAGTGTCCATTGATTGATTCATACACAAATACATACATATATATATGTATGTTTATACCGATCTCGAATTTTGAATTGTTAGAGAAAGAAGGAACCATGCATGAATCAATAATATTGAATCGCCGATTAGGCGTTGTTTGGATACATCACTTTCGTGTTCTGTGTTCTTATTATTATTTTGTCTTCTTTCGAGATCTGATTGCACTTATTGAATCTCAAGAGAGAAAATGGTGTTTCTTGAATGGGAACTCACCGATTCCGCGTTGGGAGTGAGTTGTCGACAGATGGATTTTCTCGAGAAAACGTGGTCCTCTCGTTTTGTCTGTCGAATTGCCCCATTGTATCCAGCGCGGAAGAAGAGGGACCGAGCAGGGGATTCTCGGAGAGGGGTTGAAATGAGAGTCGTCCGAGGGGTTTGAGGGCGCAATCGCAGTGAGAGTTTTTCCAGCAGTCGTTGACGATCATGGTGGTTGCGAAAGCCACAAGGTGGAGGATGACGAAAAGAGAGATGATCCAAGTGTTCTCTCTCTTCTGCGATAAGGCTCTGAAGAAGGGGACTCTCTGTTCTTTTCCCAATTTCTGAAGCGAAATCAATGGTGACGCGGGGCTGTGGTGCCTTGATTTCGTTAGGGGTCGATAGGGGTGTGGTCTTTGGTGGTCATCGCCATTGATTTTGCAAGAAATTGTAAGTGGCTATGGACCCCAGACAGAGACAAAGAACAACAATCTTCAAGATGTACCGTGTATTTGCTTCAAACCATTGAGAGAGAGAGAGAGAGAGAGAGAGATAATGTGGGTTGTGTGTAACGTCCCGTCGTAATTTTGTTCCGTTCCGTCGTAATAGTCACGTTGGTTCAGATGAAAAGATAGCCATCTTCCTCTAGAACTTTCACTATTCAGAAATTTGTTTTATATTTTGGAGGCGATCTGGGTTTTGGTGATTTGTAAGGTTTTTGTTGTTGTTGTTTGGAAGAGGTGAAATTCGGAAATGGAGTCGGCACATGTGGTCGGTCCCCTCGCGCAGCACCACAGTGACGAGGAGTGTAACCGGTGATTCTTCACCATCTACGCTCGATTCCTTCTGTAAGGATGGTCACAATATTAGTATAGGTGATTGTGCTCTTTTCAAACCACCATCCATAATAAACCTGTGTAGAGTGGGCATGGGACGCTCAGTGCTCTATTAGAAATTTTTAAAAACATATATATATTTATATACGGAACAAAATTACGACGGGACGTTACACACAACCCACATTCTCTCTCTCTCTCTCTCTCAATGGTTTGAAGCAAATACACGGTACATCTTGAAATCATTAGCACTAGTTTTACGTAGTTGCTTCTAGTTGGCAATTTGTTTGCTGCAATTCCATTTTAAATTATTAATTGCACTTACAGCCTAGTTTGGATCCTCCACTAGGTGTTCAAAGAGGGCTTTGTTTTGGTGAAGCCAAATACCCCAAAGAATTTTGATTTGGTATGACCATGATTAACTTTTATTTGAGGAATATTATGTATTTAAATTTTTATAATTGTTAGATTTTCAATTATGGATATTTGTTTATAAGTTAGTATCTCAAGTTCCTTTCAAGGAAAGGCACAAATATTTGACAAATATTTTGTGGAAGTTTTCCAAAATGTGTTTTTTAAAATCAAGATATGATTTTAATTACTAAAATTTGGTATGATTTTTGGTTTGTAAATTCTTGAAAATTGAAAAAATATAGAGTATATGTTATATACTGGGGGAAATTTTTTTTTTTTCCAATGTAATTTGATGTCATTTACATGTGCATTTTAATTTGTAGTAATTCTAATTAATTTGCAATGAGCCTTATGGTGTCAAATGTTGCCATGAAATCTTTTATGGGAAAAGAAAAATGTAATATGTTAGTTTTTGACTGATTTATTGCCAGTACTTTGTCTGGGATTTAAATTAAATTTTATTTGACAGTTTGTGAAATTTTTAATTAATTTCTGATTGTGATGATGACATATCAATGGATCTCTTGTGCGGTATTATTTCGAAAAGAATATTTCATGTGTAAATAATCCTTTTGTTTGATTGTGATAGCAGTATTAACAATAGTTAAACACCAGAAAAGTTTAAACATGATGTTTGAAATAGTGGTGTCATTCCATTTAATTGGAAGTAGATTGAAGAATCTTTTATGTTGATTTTTAGTTTGTTATAATCAAGTTGAAAGTTATTTTTAAAGTAACTTTGAGTTTGTGACATAAATTGTCATCAATCATTATTTTACTTGTATGGTAGAATTTGTTTAATCATGAACCACAATATTAATGAGGACGTTTATCTTTTGAATGTGAAAAGATAATTCAATTTTCTTTGTCCCAAATATTCATCAAAAATGAATTATTAGTTGTAGCAGTGACACTTGTCTGGGATTGAATCATGTTGTTTGTGCTAATTTATGTATTATCACAAACGTGGGGGAAGAGAGATTCCTTGTCTACATATGTTGTAGAGTTGACAATCAATTTATGATGTCATTAATATCAATTTGGTATGCGGTGTATTATAAATGGATATCAATTATTTATCAAAGTATTGATAAAAATGTGAACTTATGTGTTTTGACATAAAGAGGAATTTTAATTATTCTTTGGAATAAAGACTAAAATTGGTGTGGTGACTGATAACTCTGTAATGAAATATTATAAGTTAAAATATTTCATGGGTGAAAGACACTTTGGTAATTGTTGGCATAGTCACCAATACTGGATAAGACAAACAAGATGTAAATGTATTTATACAGTGATATTTATATTCCATGTTGAGATTGGAATTAAGGGTTGCAATAAACAAAAAGAAATTAATCATGGCTAAAGAAATGTTATTTGACAAAGTGTTGTGGCCACAACCGGTTTTTAGTCATTTCTTCGTTGTACTGCAAAAGCAAGTTATGAAGTCTAATTGGTTTTAGACAAATTAGTATTGTGATTATATTCACAAAATAGTTTGCATCTTGTTATTTAGTTCAAGCACGCCAATTAATGATATATTCTGATTTATCTCAGAATTGTGGGGGTATATTAATATTTTGTATAATTATACATCAACAAGAGGAATTAAGTTTCCTTAGAATGCTTAAAATGTGGGGGTGCTTGGAGGATTTTACCAAAGTAACGGTTCCGATAATAGGTCCACAAAGAATCTCAATTCTTTATATAGGACAAAGTTGGAGTAGAAACAACAATGGTTTTATTAACTCCTAAGGAACAACTCTATGTTTATTATTTAAATGGGAGTGACATAGAGTAACGATAAGTCTCGATGTAATCAAAGACTTGACACCGTATGACATTTGCTTTTAGTTGTGAATATTGTCTAATGATAATATAATGGATTCACTAACTACTCAATGATATCTAATTGAGAAGGTCAAACGGAAAAATAGCGGCCGCTAAACAAAAAAGTTTGACCAAAGAGCAAATGAGTTTATCGAGGGGAATGTGATTAAAGCCTAATATATCAGAGTCATCATAATGGTAACCCTACTTAGATGACTGGAGATCCCAAGAACTAAGTTCAAAGGGACAACTAAGTTATGTGTGGCTCGCCAGAAATCACTAAAGGAAGTCTAACTCCTATCCATTCCTATGATGAGAGTGATATCTGCAACATGTGTTGAATGCAGGGAACTTAGGGTAAGCTATGCTTTTAATGATTACTTATATCTTGGAAATCCTAGAGGGGTATCTTTCAAGAGGAGTATTTAAGAGACTCGAAATAAGGATCACCTATATGAGTGTGAAGGGGCCGCTTCTATGAGAATTGATAAGGCTAAATTCTCTAAAGCACTCAAGAAACACCAGAACTTGCCCAAGGCCAAAACGGGTACAACCATGAGAACTAAGCTGTGTTTGAAGATATTCTGTGTGAATTCTATTGTCTTGGCTTACACAAACGGCTGAACAGTTCAAGGCATCACGTCCACTGATTAGCTAGTAAGTCCGATAGGCTTTCACTAGGGAAGGTTCAAAACCGAA